AAGAGGACAAAAAACACAAGAAGAACCACCATGGCCGGGGGGTTAAATGAGAGTGCTGATTGGCTTAGCTTGTATCACACTGCACCACTTAGTGGTCCTGATGTTGCATGAAGTTCAAGGAGGCCCTTACATTGGCTGGATCCTCTGTTGGCTTGTGGCCCTCTTCGGACACTTCAGGGGCTGTTGGCACAGACACAGGAAGCAAAGGGGATCTTGCCTTTCCAGCCAGCCCAAGAGAGGCTGTTTTAACATGAGTCTTGGGAAGAGTAGGCCCTGAAATAGAAAATACAGGCTGATGAAAGTAATGCATAAAACATTGTGGGGAGCAATCTCTCCAACACAGAAGCCACATTTTGTAGGTTGGTGCTGATTTCAGGTTACTGTTCATTATGCAGTGTAGAGACAAATTATGACACAAGAAATGGGCTCCTTTCATTCCCACTGAATGGAAGACGGATTCTGATTAGACCTCTCTAGATGAAGCTTCACTAGTCAAAAGTAATTGCAAGCAGAATCCAAGTCATGCTGTAAAAGGTTGTCTGGGAGGAGCTCTGGACCTTCATCATGCTCTGTGTGGCAGACAGGTTTAATTGGTGGCAGTCTCATCACATGATCAGAAACCCCTATGGAAGACCACCTAAAATAACCCCTAAATTGTACAGCAGAACCAAAGAAGGTTTATGGCATTAGAAACGATGTTTGCTCTGGTCTACAATTAGTATCAGATGCAATAGTAGAACAAAGTCCTTTATGGTTAACCTGACATAATCTCATTATCAATTATCTTTTAGAAAAAAAAGCAAGATATTTCTGTCCTTATCAGTACAGTTTCTGACAATAAAAGATATTCTAATGCTTATGAAAACCATTTGAGAAACTGCTGAGTTTCAACTAGATGACATTTCTGTCTACTATAAAAAAGGCTATCTTTTCTTTTGGCGTCTAAAATTTGCCTTATAAATCCTGTTTAGCTTATAGCAGCAACACAACTTTGTCACTATTGCCTAAAACAAAAACATTATAAAGGCTTATTGAATCAGATAGTATACCTCCCATAACTAAGGAGTTTTGCCATTCTTTTTTTTTTTTTTTTTTTTTCTAAAGAGAGATTTTTTTTCTATACTGCACTTACGCTCACTGGAGAGACAGAGAGTATTGGAGAGACAGAAAATGAGAAATCACCCCACAGGGGGAATGGCTATGCCACAATCCCTTCTCTTCCATTCTTCCATTTCTCTGGTGAGTGCACATGCCCTATGACAAAAATCTCTTTCTAAAAAGAAAAAAGTACATTTAATTGACAAAATAGAAGCAAAGTTATTTGCTGCCATTGATGTGTATAGTAATGTCTTTGTCTTGACTGCTAATGCATGGTAATCATGCTGGAAAAGATATGTAATACACTGAAAGATATATGTGATTAACTGTAATGTTAAAATTAAAAAAAAAAAGAAACTGGCAGGCAGAGTCAGGGTTTACAAGATCTATTTAACTCCACTGAGCAAATGAAGGTTTTTATCACTAATGTGTTGGCCTAGCCCATCTAAATTAAATGGGATTCTTAAGGAAGCAATATAAATAAAATCTAGTTAAGGCTAAATGTAATTTGAAGATACAATCTACGGTAGACCCCCAGTTACCCATAGGAGATCCGACCTAAGACTCCCAATAGATACCTGAAACTGCAGGTAGTACTGAACGCTACATAATCCTATGTTTTTTCCTATCCATACCTACATACATACCTATGATGAAGTTCACTTTATAAATTTATTACAGCAAGAGACTAACAGTGATGAATTAGAATAGCAATACTGTAATATAAGTTATACACAGTAGTTTCTCCCTCTTTCTAATTTTTTTTTTTGAGAGGTTTTTGCTATAGGGCGCGTGCGCTCGCCAGACAGACAGAGACAGACAGAGAGACAGAAAGTGAGAAATCACCCTCCAGGGGGGATGGCCACGCCGCAATCCTTTCTCCTCCATTCTCCTCTTGGGATCTTGGGCACACACGCACATGTGCCCGGCGTGAGTTCTAAACCACTGGGTACAGGACACGAACCACGGTCGACTACGTGGGAGTCCAGTGACATAGCCATTACGCTAACTGCTGGTTCGCATCCCTCTTTCTAATTTTTTGTACCATGCTTACTTTTCCTGTGTTAGAGAAGAGATGGGATGGGATGACAGGAGATTTCAACACACTGCCAGAATGGTGTAATTTAAAGTTTATTAATTATTCATTTCTGAAAATGTCCATTTCATATATTTAGACCATGATGGACCACAGGTAATTGAAACCTCAGAAAGTAAAACTGTGGAAAAGGAGAGACCACTTGTATTTATGGTATCATTATTTCTTGTGACCGAGTTATTATTGTTTAAAAGAAAAAAGCAAACTTTCATAAACCCCCACATTCATGTAAACTATTTTTATTACAATGATATTGAAATATATACAAACATAAAACTTGTCATAAGCTTCATAACTTGTCATTGTTATGCTATGCTATAAAACCAAACACATTTGGAAGTTAAATAGAAAAGCCCTATAAAATAATGCAATGTGAATTATCATCATTAATTTAATATGATGAATGAGGTTGTTGGTCTATAACAAAATTGCCACACAAATTTAGCTCTGGTGCTGTGTTTCAATCATTTTGTGTTGTCCTTTACGCTCAGTTTTCCTTACCAACATTCTCCCGTTGAATGATAGGCAAGTCTTTCAACCATACAAAAATCATAATGTCAAGCCATTCATGTATTCTGTTCACCTCTCTTCTTTCCTTTTTAACCTCGGACTATAACCATTGAGTTCCTGGTGCCCTCTTTTTCATAAACCCAAATACAAAGGCAAACCCTAAAAACCTTGGCTGAGGGTTGCTACCGAATGAACCTCCGGATGCTCTGCCACATAGTGAACACTAACATCATTCACACTAATATGTTAGATTGTTATGATTGTTATTTAAGTGAAGGCTCAAAGTTTAGAAAACAAATTCACAAAATATAAAAGTTTAAAAAAGAAGAGTGGGGGCTGGCAGGTGAGGTAGTTGCAACGCTAGACTCCCACATGGCCGGCCATGGTTCAAGTCCCACATCTGGCAGCCTGAAGATTACAACCAAAAAAAAAAGAAGAGTGAACCTTGAGAATGTATGTATCTATCAAACCACTATTTCTATTTTGAGTTAGGTTACCTGCATTATCTTTGTATATCCTTTTAGAATGTTTGCGACATTCTGATTCAACCTGACTTTAACTTTATTGTCTCAGAAACTGTTCCTCTTAGCATCTTCTGGGAGCCACTTATTATTCCTCTCTGTGTTTAAAAGAGAAATAACATAATAACCACTGCTTCTTTCTGTACAGATCTTCTTGCTATACACAGCTATTTATTTTTTTAAATTGTACTCACTGGAAAGAGAGAGAGAAAGAGAAAGAGTGAGAGAGCGAGAGAGAGCATGAGAAAACATCCCCCAACGGGGAGTGGTCACACTACAATCCTTCTCTCTCTCTCCCTCCTTCAAGACTTTAAGCGCTCACACAAGCACATTAAGCATGTGTGCCTAGCATGCTTCTCAAGCTCCTGGACTTGAACTGTGTAGTGGATCATGTGGAATCTGGCTGCTTTAACCATCATGCCACAGGCTGGCTTCTGTATATAGTTTTTATTTCATTTTTGAGCTAGGCTCCTTTGATCATAAAATGTACTTATTTTATTTATGTTTTTCAGTTTTTTCAGAAAAATTTAAAGAACTTAATCACTGCTGAAAAATTTATAATTGGACTGTTACATATAATGTTGTTTAACACATACTGAAAATCACATCACTTTAACACAGACATCTACCAAGAAAACGTGAATGCATTTACAAGACAAATTAAGTGACATTGGCATAGTTTAATATGTCAGAACCCCAAGTGGGGCAGTGTTTTAGAAATCATGTAAGAATAAAGATTCTTTTAGCATTTAACAAACTGTTTTATATAATTCCCTAACACTTACTGGGTTGTTGGAACAGTCATAACATAATTTTTTGCTATGTAAAAGTGCATCATGACTTTTCTGACAACCCAATATTTTATTACATTTTGGGGTCAGCCTTTCCTGGAAGCAAACTGAAATCTTAGGCATGGTCAAGTTATCATAAGATACATAGATTCTTATATTTTCTGCCAAGGATTCCAAACACTTGGGTGTATTATATGGCATGTATCATCTTTGTTCACCATACTCATGTTATTATAGTAAGACACAGGGATGCCTAAGGAGGACCAGAACCCAAACTAATTAGAAAGAAGATTGCTGTAATAACTGATTTTCCTCTAGTGTCCAGGCAAGAAGTACATTCAGAATGTACTGTTAAACAATGTATAAGACACTGAGCTTTACAAAAGGAATTGAAGACATTGTTTCGGCTCAAAGACCACACAGTGTTTAAACCTCAAGTGACTGCCTTTTATTAAGAAATATTCATAGAAATCACGAAAATTTAGAATGCTGGAATCTCTGGGGCTCTCAGAGTTCATCTAGTGACCTTCCCCTTTATTTTGTTGAAGAGATCACAGGGGCCCCTGGAGATCCAGAGATCAAGGTGGAACTAATTTCAATAAAATTCTAGTAGAGGCAAAGAATTTGAACAGGCTCCCAGAGTTCATTACTGGCAGGATTTAACCAGTGTTCGCAACGGCCTTAAATATTTTTCTTTTCTTTTCCGGAAAAGAAAGTTAAAGAGAAGAGTAAGAGAGAAATTTCCCTGGAGAAATATAGTCATAGCTAATTAAACAACGTTGGTCTCAAAACTGCCCTTAAATAAAGGGGAATAAATATTTTGAAACAAAGATTTTCATGCAAACCTCCTGGCTTGGGGAGCTGACACCAAGCTCTCAGCTATGCATAATTCCATCCCTGTACCATGTTTGTCATTTATATCAGTTCAGTGTTTTGACTCTAAAACTCAGATGTTTTTAAGCCCAGACGTGGTGAAACCTATGTCCCTACATGCTCACCAAACTGTGCCTATTCCTCATGAACTTGTAGCCTACCATGTGTAATAGGCTGCTTTTTCGATTTTTCAGTCTGTACTCCTCCTATCCTTCAAAGGCATTTTGAGATACATCGTAATCCTTCACCTCGTGCCTGAGACCTCACCAGCTCCCTTCCTCAAAGCAAAAGTATCTACATTCCAACCAAACAGTTGATCTAAAATGATGAGTCTCATGGTATGTTCTATGTGCCAATGAGAAAGGAATAGTCAGTCAGTCATCT